CAGGGATCAAACTCGGGACCTTGCACTTATGAGGCAGGTGGCAGCACCAATGAACTAAATCCTGGTAGACCCTGGTTCCAAAAAAAGGGGAAAAAAATCTTTCTGCAGTGGTGGGGCTTGAACCCAGGGCCCGGCGCATGCTAGGCTGAGCCGCACGCAGCCCCTGAACACGGCCAAACCAGCAGACACCAGCGCTGTTCTCAGGGAGGAAAACAGGAAGGGAACACAGCACCCCGAGCTGGAGCTCCTGCCAGGCGCCTAGGCGCTGGTTCCCATCTCAACGCGAGACACTTGGCTGCCTAGAAAGCTACTTGTCCCCAGGGTTCAGAATTCTGACCAGAAATCCTACAACTGACAGGTGTCCGGTCCTCCGCCAGCAGCCCAGGGCCGGCCGGCCGGGTCCTGAGGTGCAAGCGGCCTCTCGCTGCAGGAGTCGGCCACACGAGGCCTGGGCTTAATCCCCAGCCCCGCAATCAAAATCAAACAAGAAAATAAAGCTGTGCCACCAGCTGGCCATGCTGAGCCAACTCCTCCCCTGCCAAATACATACTCAGTAATTAGGGAAATTAAGACAAAAGTGTGTGTTTGACTGGGCGTGGTGGCACATGCCTATGGCCCCAGCACTCAGGAGGCTGAGGCAGGAGGATCACCACACGTATGAAGCCAGCCTGGGCCACACAGTGAGACCCTGTCTCAAGCCTCCTCCTCCTCCCTGGTAAAAGTAAAGATGGGAAACTTCGTCCACCTACCAGGCCTGGCTCTCGATCCACTGGGACAGGTAGTGGCGCACCTCGATGGGGAAGTGCTGGCCGTACAGGGCTTGCATCTGGTGCAGGGCGTCCCCCTGCAGCTGCTGGGCTTGGATCCACACAGCCATCGCTCACAACCTGGGCAACAAGCAATCCAGTGTGGGTGATTTGCTTTTCATGTTCTCCTTTTAACCCACTAGAGTCAATATTCACAGTTAAAAGGAAACGTCTCTGTCGGCAGAGTACAGGTCAATCGGCACATAAATACCCCACATATATTTTACACATGTATATTTTCAGATAGAGTCTCTCTACGCAGCTCTGTTGGCCTTGAACTTGTGGTGATCTTCCTGCCTCTGCCTCCCGAGGAACATTCTTGAACTGAACGTCAGGTTTACAATGTTTCCAAAATGTAGGCTGGGGAATGGGCTCAGTGGTTCTGCTGCCTGCCTCACAAGTACAAGGGCCCAAATTTGATCACTGGTACAAAATCATACAATGTTTCCAAAATAGAGACACTCACAGGTGGCCCCAAGGAAGTACCAGCTCTGCCCATGAAGCCCTGACCATAAATGTCCTGCAGTTCTTTATGCCAAAGCACAAAATCAGCCCCGGGGAAAGAACTGCCCGGCTCTGCCACCACAGATGGGTTCATTTTGTGCAAAAGTGACAGCAACAGCCCGGCCTGTTGGCACATTCCTGATTCCAGCGCTCAGCAGGCTGAGGCAGGAGGATCTCTGCAAGTTCGAGACCAGCCTGTCTCAAAGAAAACCCAACCCAACCCAAACCAAAGTGAACACTTCTAAAGCATGGGCAGAACTCTGCAAGCTATCGCCGGTTACCTCAGCTGCAAGTGTTTGACACAAAGAACATGGATTTGGTCTAATCCCCCACGGCTCACTTTCCGCTCTGTTGGGCCTGCGGCCAGGAAACACACCTTGCCACTGGGTGGGGCAGGCCGAGCCCTCAGCCCCCCGACTTTATCACCCTGGCCTCCTCCCAGACTCACCTGCGAGCTGCCCCGGAACATCCCTTTACCCCAGGGAGTACACGGACCCGGGACCCTGCGCTGTGGTTCGCCTGTGTCCGTGGAATGGGTCAGGACCAGCGGCCCAGCACCAGCCTGCACGGTTCTCGAAAGATCTGTCACCGTCAGGCCCAGTGACTTGGGCTGGCTGTGCTGACAAGCGGCCACACGTGTCAGGGACTCTGATCAAGTAACAGCTATTTCTGGATCGCGCCCCGGCCGGGGAGGAGGCGGGGTACCTGCCAGCACCAGTTTTAGCCCGGGACAAGGCTGCAGGACACTGGGCCGGGCTGTGGGTTTATTTAGGGCTTTTGAAGACACTTTGCGACTGGGACCACTGAGTCCACTCCAGACACCCAAGTTCAAGGCTGGGCCCGAACTTCCTGCAGCAGCCACTGCAATGCAGTCTAGAGCCTGGTGCAGGAAGATGGCTTCATTCCACCGTAAGACTGGGAAAACAGAACAGACAGCAAGCAAAGCACGATTTTTGCTTTTTGCTTTTTTGAGTCATAGTCTCACTAGGCTGATCTGGCTGGCCTTGAACCCAGGGTGATCCTCCTGCCTCAGCCTCTTGAGTGCTATGAAGGATGGCGTTTCCTTCCGCTCTTTCTCCGAGCCCATGACAGTGCCTGACTGTCAGACAGTGCCTGCTGCACGAGTGAGCGGACACACACTGCTCCCTTCAGGAATCGGGTGAAACTCCAAGGTGTGAACGCAAACCAGATTCCAGCGTCAGGGGAAGCAGACGTCACCGACCCCTGCTCTTCAGCAACACACAGCTTTCCAGAGTTTTTCTTTTGGTTTTGCTTTTTGTCCTACTTTGGTTTATTCCCCACCATGTGCGGAGTGGATGGAGGATCTCCGAGAGTTTGAGGCCAACCTGGGCAACAAAGTGAGTCCCCGTCTCAAACACAAAAACAAAAATGTACAAAAGGAAGCTCAATATATTTCGGTTAAAGTAACACAAGACTAAGTCAGCAGTGGTGGCACATAACTGTAATCCCAGGAAGCTGAGGCAGGAGGATGGTGAGTTCAAGGCCAGCCAGGGTAACTTAGTGAGGCCCCGTCTCAAATGTTAAACAGGGGCCAGGGGTGTAGCTCAGTGGTAGAGCACCTGCCTGGCACACACAGGTCCTGGGTTCCATCCCCAGGACCCCAAGAGAAAAAAGAAGACTAAACTCTCTTTAGCTGGTCGCAGTGGCCCATCCCAGCATTCAGGAGGCTGAGGCAGGAAGATTGCTGTGAGTTTGAGGCCAGCCTGGACTACACAGCAAGGCTCAAAAAACCTGAATACATAAACGAACAAACAGAATCTTCTCTTTTACGACAAAAATGTCCCTGTCTGCTCCCCAGATGGTGCCCCGTACGGAGCCCGACCACAGCTGTTCGCGCAGGGACCCAAGGCCACGTACACCCAAGTTGCTCTCATTCCTGAGAGGCAGCGCCCGAGCAGCAGGACGCTGAGAAGCTGATTCTGACCCTCAGATAAAAGGCATTTCCGGGAGTCCTCTTTTCTTAGAAAGTGGCAAGGAAAACTGCCAGGAAGAAGGGCTATCGCGGTGTACGAAGCAGTGTTGTATCAGGACATTTGGAGCAAAGATGAATTAAAAATTATGCACAAAGGCCCAAGCGCGACGGCGCACGCCTGTGCTGCAAGTTCAAGGCCAGCCTGAAGCACCTAGAGAGACCTGGTCTCAAAAACAAACAGTTCTGGGCACGAAGTCAGCGTCCACGTTTCCTCTGCCTTTAAACTGGGGCTGTGCAACAACCCGGGTTCCTTTTGCTGAAACAAAGCTCCTGTTCCGGGAGCGGCCCGCGGCTGTTACAGGAAGCGGGGCCGCGAGCTCTTCCCGAAGGTCAGCTGCCTCAGCCGCCCACGGCGCG